ACTGGTGGCTGCTTGTCAGGGCCTGGAGCCTGGGGCTCGCTCGGGCCACATCGGGGGTGGGGTGCCCTCAGCCTCTCGGCCTGGGGCTCGGTCACTGTGGCACAGCTGGCTGCCGGCGGAGCTCACGGGCACGTCACTGCAACCCCCCCTGGCTTCTGCTCCGCGGCTGCTGAGTGAGCCCTCATCTGGGACACTCCTCAGCTCTTTCTGGGACAGTGGCGCGGCTGCCCCTCTGTTAGTCTTCCTTGGTCTCTTGTGTTCTGGGGGCCTCTGGATGTCTGGAGTTTTGATCTCCTCCATTCCTGCTTCATGCCCTGGAGGACGGGGCTGTGGCTCCCCCACACCCTCTAGCAGATCATTACATGAAGGAACCTTTTAAAAACAAGCGCGTCCATGCTCACAGGTGTACACACGGGTGCTCACACACACACATACGGCACCCTTTTTGGCTCCTACCTCAAAGCACACTGTGTTCTGTTGATCTTACGTGCTGCACAATAATATTTAATATTTAGTATTTACTGTTACATTCCCATAGATCATTTTCTTCTGCTTGTTTTCTCTTTTTTCTTTCTCAACAGGTGATCCAGGTGATTGATATATGTATTTTTTTGTCTGCTTATTTTGTTGGTTTTTGTTTTTTTGCCCTTTATCCCCGTCCCTCTTCTCTGCTGTTTTTCTTTCCCTCTTTCCTTCTCCCCTTTCTTTTCCCCAGTCAAGTCTGTCCCATATTTAGCAAGTGAAAATAAAATAAAATAAACAATAAAAGGTGAATCAAATAGACCATTAAGGCAAGGCTGGGATGGTCCATTTGGTAAAGTAAACCCGTTCTTCGCCTTTAGACAATAATTCTGATGGCAAAAGAGCCAAACGAAGAAAAAAAAAAAGTTTTTACAAATTTTGATGATTTTTTTTTCAAGTTTTGGCAACATTCTTTTTAAACATACAAACTGTGATGTGATCAGATACCAATAATAACAGGTAATCATAAAATGATGTAGTTTATAGACTAAATCTACACAACAGGGCAGCAGCTAAATAGAAGCAGACTGACACAGACATTCAATAACTAGACTCCAAGGTATTTTTTTTTATATTTTATTGCTGAGTTTATTATTTAATACATTTGACTTTTGGTTTATATAGATATAAACATGGCTATAACATCTTATTTTACCCATAAACATTGTGTCTTAAAACACCTCATTCCACAGCAAAACTTAAAAATAAGCTTTTCTTATATTCTCTAGACCGTTTAAAAAAACTCTTCTCTTTTTAAAAACTTCCCCAAAAGTTGAAGAGTGAAAAAAGTATCCATAAATCACATAGAGTAGAAGTACTTGAAATTACAAATGCTGTAATTAAAGAGATGTCACATTATATGTGTATACAAGAAGTTCACAGAATTTCAAAAGATTACACGCTTACTTGCCATACAAACATGTATGTGTTAGTTGGGCTTGTGATGTAAGTCAGCAAACACTAAAACAAAGAGCACGGTGTTGGCTGTTTTGGTGTGCAATTTGGAACAATTTTAGAAATGCTCATGAAAAGCGAAAGGACTTGCTTAGAGTCCTTAACAGTGTTCTTGAATACATGGCAACGATTACCGCAAGCTCCCACAATGTACTTGAGGTGAGATCGTTCGCCAATAAACTCTGTCAAATCACCGTTGAAATCTTCGCCATGTGTAAACAGGAGGATTGTTTTCTCCCTGATCTTCCTCTGAAGATGTTTCTCCAGGTTATGTAATATTTCATTCTCGCCCTCTGTAAACCTGCCGAGCTGTATCACAAGTAACACAACACACTGCTCTTCCTGACAGTACCTCTTACACTCTTCTATTTGTGCATTGTCTACATCTTCCTCGTTGTTCAAGAAATCTGGAGTGTCAACCACTCTAATCTGTGTCCCAAATATCTGTGCCCTCTTCTCCTCACACTTGTTGGTGACTGGTGTGGAGCTCGGACGAGATTCAAAAGTTGAATCCATCTGGGAGTTTCCAGCAGCCAGGATAGTGTTTCCAGATGCACTCTTTCCAGTTCCACTTTTTCCCAGAAGAACAATGGTGGTTTCAGTTCCTGGGTTAGGGTTAGTGTAATTGTTTATTATATCATAAAATGTAGTTTAAAAAAACTGGCTTAGAAAAACTACACTCATATTTGGATACCAGACTTACCTCTTGCCCCATGGTGATCAGGAGAACATTCATTTCTGAAATAATAATTATAATCACTGCAGATATAAGATATATTTCAACAACAAAACTTCAAATTTCACAAGAATTTTTTTTTTAAAATTAGCTTGTGTTTTCAGTGGATTTCCTCAAAAAAAACCCCCATAAACACACATAAACTCTATTTTAAATTATAACCTCTAACCTTCGAGAGCTTACTCGATATTTTTACAATTTTTACAGACTCAACCCTGCTATACCAGATCTACAACAGTACTCAGCATTTGTATTTATTCACTCTAGTAAAAATTTTGAAAAAATTCCCCCCTTAAGACATAATTTGAAGATCTTAAAGTTGTTCCTACTGGAGCTGCACAAAAATGTTTAGTTTTCTCAGGATTAAAGAAACCTGGTAAGATTAATTGCACCACTGAACCAGCTGAAGTGTATGAAGTGATTGTGGCTGTCTGCCCTTCTTAGGTTACAAAGGTGGTTCCACGTGTTTTAAGCAAAGTGTGTGTGTCTCTCTGCATGCTTTAGGTATATAGCAATACATTTGATTTTAGCATGTTGTGATACAAAAATGGCTTGATATTGTTGTGGGGCCTTGAAAAAGATATTTAAAATGTAAATCATCTGTATAACTAATTTCGCTCTGTAATCCCCTGGTTGCTAGGGAAAACTATGGAGTATGGAGGGTGCTGGCTGCCATTGCAAAAAGGTATAGAGTACAGCACAGTTTCCTCCTTCTCAAGACAAAATTTGTCTAGTTTGCACATAAGTTGGTGTCAGTAGCCTATAACAACTCACGGACTGAGTGGCGAATACACATTTTCTCCTAGCAACTGGTGGTTGCACAGGGGTCATTGATTGATCTAGAAACTGTGTGAATTTACTTTTGTTTATTTAAGTCACTTGGTGGGGAAAAAAGAAAAAAAAACTTTTTTTTAAAATAATGTGGGACCAAATTTGTTTTTGTTAGCATCTTTTTTTCCATTTATTACAAGATGCCTAAATTTTCCTGTTCCTGAGTTATTGTCTTACTTTGACAGGCTGTTTAGTAGATTGCTTGTAGCATTAGGCTACATTAAAAACAATTGTTCTACATGCTGAAGGCGATTGCCGTTACTATATTTTTATTTTAGGAAAATACTTTTACTCTTTGCTTAGGCTGCTGCCCCCGCGACCCGGCCCCGGACAAAGCGGATGAAGATGGATGGATGGATGGATGGACTTTTACTGAAGGCTGCACTGGTTTTGTTATTTTAATAAAACTGACATCAGAAGCATTTATCCTTATATTTCTAAAGTGTTATTACGTATTGGTATTGCAACTACATGATCGAAACGTTTCTTTTCTCAGAAACAACTAATGAGAAAATAAACAAACACAAGCTAGCTGTAAAGAAAATAGGAATGACTAGCCAACTGAAAAAAAGCTGGACCTTTGTGTTACCTTGTGCTTTCAAAATATTGTTTCCTTCGTTTCACAGCAATTTGAATGTAGTTTTCAGTTTTAAACTGGAGTGGCTGATCAGTTAACCATTCCTTACACTGATCAGGCAGGTTTTTATTCACATCTTCCTGGATATAGAATACCTTCTCATGATTCAGGTTGGGTTTATTCTTGTTCTTGCCATTATCTATTATGATGGCTAAGTGTTTCATGACAGTTCCTTGAAAAATATGTTCAAGTTTGTCAATTTGAGCATTTACTTTTTCCACTTGCCCTGTATCCTCTGAATCTATTGCCAACATTAACAGATCAGGGCTAAAATCAGAAAGTGCCATCAAATCAATTATCCTCTGATCTGGATCCAGATATTTGTCATCCAAAACATCTGGAGTACTTATGATTTTGAATGACTCGCTCTCGCTCACAAAAAAGTCATTACATAATTTGGAAACAGTTCTCTGATTTTTGAAGATTTCACTTTTGATTTTCTTCTGCAAGCTCTCCTTCTTTCCAAAGAGAATGATTGTAGTCTTGACAGGGTGATCTGTAGAAGCAAAAGGCAAGAGTATTTTTTCAAAATGTTGTATACTTTTCACTTTACAATTTCCAGGTGTGTGATTACAATTAAAATGAAGGATGGAATTAAAGATAGGAGCAATTTGTTCACTGACAATTCAATGGTCATGTCACAGTGTTCCAATAATCCAGCAACAATGCTACAAAGAGGTATTTTTTCTCCCAGTACTGTCCAAAGATCCCCTCACACATACCAATGGAACAAGGCAACAAAATAAAAATTGAATAATTCCAAAGAAATATTTAACCAAGGGTGTGTCTGTAGCTAAAAGAAAACAGCACTGGGAAAGATTCTTTGTTAAGAAGAGCATAATTTGTTCCAACTAACTTTGTATTGGACAAGAGTCGGACAACAACAATCTGCAGATATACTTTAATCTCAGCTACACTGTTCCAAAGTTTCATGTCTCTGTCTCATATGATACATAACTTGAGAAAATTGTTAATATTAGTAAATCAATATTTCTTCAGTTAAGGATTTAAGGTAACACTAGAGTTTCTCATGTTTAGATTAAATCATTTCTCATATCTTTATGGAAATATGAAGGGGGTATATAAATGTGACAAAAGTAATTAAGGAAGAGTTGCTTACTTGGTGAACCAGCAGAACTCATCTTGTCAGCTGCTTAAAGATGAACCACGTGCAGATTTCAACAGAATCTGAATTCAGATGCAGTCTTGCTGATATAGACTGAGAGTTAGGTCCACCCAGTGGGAGGAGTGCAGGGAACTGCTGAACAACAAATCAAACCACTCAGAGCGGCTTTCTGTTCATTTGCCAAAGAGCCAAGAGCAGAGATGGGTAACAGTTCATCAATCCCTGATGGTAAACTTACATCTTCTATTTTGATTTCCTGTGTTTTTAAAATATCACGTTGAATTTTTAATACTGTTAAGATTATGCTTGTGATCCACACAATTAAAACAGTAGATATTTCTTTCTGTAGGCTGCCCACTGAGGATTGTGATCATTGGGAAAACTGGTGTTGGGAAAAGTGCTGCTGGTAACACCATTATTGGCAAAGAAACGTTTAAGGCTAATGAGAGTTCAGAGTCAGTGACAGTGCACTGTGAGGCAGTTAAACTTGAGTGCACTAGAAATGTCAAGTTGGTTGATACACCTGGCCTTCTGGATACATCTAAGACTGCAGACAGTATAAAGAAAGAAATCGCGAAATGCATCCAGATCTCCACTCCCGGCCCTCATGTCTTCCTCCTGGTCCTTCAGATTGGCAGGTTTACCAAAGAAGAAGAAAACTGTGTGGATGCCCTGGAGAAACTCTTTGGACCTGACGCATCAAACTACATGATGATTCTGTTTACTCATGGTGACAAACTAACAAACAAGAAGATAACCATACATGCCTATTTGAGAACTGGCCACCAGAAGCTCAGAGAGCTGCTGAACAGGTGCGGTAATAGGTACCATGTATTCGATAACAAAAACATCTGGAACAGAGTTCAGGTTGTTGAGCTGTTCAGAAAAATTGATGACATGGTGGCAGCAAATGGAGAAACACATTACACCGATGAAATGTTTGATAAGGCACAGCAAATTCTGCAGCAGCATGAAGCCATGTATGACAATGAATACCTCGCTAACAACGTGACCTTCATGGCCGAACTGTTGCAGAGAATCATCTTGTTCCAGACCGTCTTGGGTTCAGATAACGACGGTTAGAACCACTCAAGCATGGGGTCTTAATCTGGTGTAAATTAAGCAGCTGTCATTTAATAAAATATGTTAATTTTCTAAATGTAAAATCAGTTTAGACATAAATGATTTAGAACTATAATTTTCAAAATTTGATGCCTCATTTATTTTAAATCACTTTCCATTCTGCTGTATAATTTATATTTAAATCAGTGGGAATGTCTTCAAGTGAATATTTCTGTGGCTGATATAAGCTGAGCTAATTTCTAAATGCATACACATCATTAAACTCTGTGTTTCCTATATCTAGTTTAAAATTTGTTAAAAAGTAAAAAAGTATCGTATTTACGATAACTGTTTAAAAAAAACGAAGCTTAGAAAGGGTTAAACGCTCTGTAGAAGGTATATCTATATGATATCCATGCATGAGGTTACTGAATAACATGCGTGGCATCCAATATTGTTTGATGTACATTTATGAAATCAAGATTGCATTCACTGAATAAATAGCTTTAAAAAAGTTTCAGTTTCTGTTCTTTGATTCTCCAGCCAATGTCAAAGTCAATCTCTAACATCTATTTGGGGTATATCGTCTAAAAATATCTATAAAGAAATCATATGAGTGATTAATGATGGTAACATCAGGGAATCATAGCGCTGTACAAATTAGTAGAGAAATATGGACACAGGATCCTGCAGATGTAGCTTAACTCCTTTAAAAAAATAAAAATCACAAACACAGTGTATTGTTTTATAGGTTATATTTAATGTAGCAGGACACACAAAAGTCAGTTCCAATTACAAGATTTGATTCCCTATTTTGATTCATTTATCTTATATTGCGATCTCTCTGATAAACATAAGCAGATTATAAAATTCTGATATGGTGCTGTTTTTCTTAAATGGTCCTTATTATTTGATGGTCTGTTTTTGAGGCTCTAGCAAGTGAATTATCCTTTTGTGATTTTTATATGTATCTATTGAAAAAAACAACAACCTTCTATTAAGACTGAGCCCTAATGATGCTCAAAAGCATCTTTTTTTGTACAATAAAATAGCATTTTAAGTCCATTAATTAATGTCCACTACTCCTATGTTGTGTTTGTAATGCACTTCTGTCTGAAGGTATGTTGTGTTATTTTATATGATTTTTTAATATGATTATTTTTTAGGCAGAGTCTGTTATTTTTGGATGAGAGTCACTGTGAAACGCCCTGGTGAGCTGTTGCGTTAGTACGTACCTGCCAGTAACTGTGTATATTCATGAAGCATGCAGATCAACCAGTTCCTCTTGCCAACTTGATGTCTTATCAGGAAACCACATTGCATCCAGATATTTGGTCCAACACCCACTCCTCTTTCACTCAACACCACATAAAAAAAGGAAGAAAAAACCCCCCCTCACTTTGTTGCCCTTGAGTGCGTCTAGGACAGCAGTAGGATTTTTTTTTATTAACTTTTTTATTAACAGTTTAACTGTGAAGACATTTATTTTGTCACAACTGAGCTATAAAGGAATACAAGGCTCAAGAGAGATTTAACTGTTTGTCAGCTACAGTGCTGAAGATATTGATTTGACCTTTAAAGTTTTGGTAACCTTTTAATAAGGTAATTCAAGTTATTGTGTTGTTGTGTGAATGGGGAAATGATGTATGTTTGATAAAATGCTTTGAGTGCTCAGTTAGAGCAGAAAAGGACACATAGAGGCTGGCTTAGATTAAAATGAAGCTGGGAAAAAAGTTCATATCATCTTTGTTTTGGACATTAATCAAATGCATGTATTTTTCAGTGACCTGTTCTCTCACTGGGATCTATTTTATTTCACAGTAGGTTGTTTGTTGTTCCTTTTTCTTTTTTATTCCCCTCCATCATTGCTTCACCTATTCCTTTTGTCCTCACCATCCTTTTTGCTGGGAAACACAGGTAGACGTTAAGTGTTTTGTTAAGGAAAGCTATCACCAGGGGGGTCTATTAACCACAATCAAGTATTATTTTTCTATATTATCACATGTTGGATTCTGCTCTACCAACACATTTTGTAGTTTTTTTTAATACTTTTAAAATTTTAAATACATTTGTGAGTGTGAGACAGGGTTAAAAATGTCTTTTGAAATATTTGAAATATCCTGCTGAACAGCTGTTGTCAATCAGTCAAACTCTGTTTAAACACCATCTCACATACTTTTAAGGGTATTGACAACCCAAGGACAATATAGACTGTGTTTAGCTGACAGTAAAACATTCACAGGCATTCACTGTTGAACATCAATGTTGGTTTAACAATGTTCTTACTGTCAGTAATGCCTTTTCAGAACATCTTGTAACATTTTAACAAACCAAAAAACATTTGTCTTTCAACAGGTGTGTGACACAAAGAATGTGTTAAAAATAATTCTCTCACAGCCTGAAACAAAGGTTGTGGCTCTACAGGAGGATGTGGTGTCTTTTGCATTGATTACTGTAAAACATTTTTTTTGTCTTTTCTCTCCATCAACTTATCCAGAATTCTGCCGCTTGCATCATCACCAGTCCGAGCTCGGCTGTCCTTCATCAAATACACAGGCTCCTGAATAAAAAGTACATAATTCTTAGAAAGTATCTATATCTTATAGTGACAACAAACAAAAGATATTTTTAAAATATATAAATACATTTGTTTATTGTACTCAGGTTTGAAATGTTATCTATTCAAATTCAAATTCAAATTC